AAGGACAGCAACTTATCTGTTCCCCTTCCCCCGACTCCCCAATGCTGTTCCCTCCCCCAATTCCCCAATAAAATCTTTAAAAAAAATGAAGTGGGACCCCTACCTTACATCAATGCAAAAATTAACTCAAAATGTATCTACATCCTAAATATAAACAGCTAAAGCCATAAAACTCTTACAAGAAATCAGGGGTTTCGTGACCTCAGACTTGGCAATGGATTCTTAGAAATGACACCAGAAGCACAAGCAACCAAAGACAGCTAAATTGAACTTCATCAAAATTAAAAACTTTTGTGCATCAAAGGGCACTGTCAAGAAAGTGAAAAAACAACCTACAATGTCAGAAAATAGTTGCAGATCACAGATATGATCAGGGTCTAGTATCCAGAATATATAGAGAACTCTTATAACTGAATAACAAAAAGATAAACAGCCCAATTTAAAAATGGGCAAAGGACTTGCATAGACATTTTCCAAAGAACTTGTACTATTTCACTGACTAGGAAAGTAATAACCAAATGAGTGGAAAATAACAAGTGTTGGCAAGGATATATAGAAATTGGAACCCTTGTACTTTGCTAATTGGACTGCAAAATGGTTCAGCTGCTTGGAAAATGGTTTGGTGGTTCCTCAAAAAGTTAAACATAGAATTACCACATGACCCAGAAATTCCACTCCTAGGCATACACTCCAAAGAACAGCAAATAGGTGTTCAAACAAATCCTGTACACGAAAGTTCACAGCAGCATTAGTGACATCCCCAAAAGGTGCAAACAACCCAAATGTCTATCAATGGATGAACAGATAAACCGTGGGATATTCATACACTGGAATGTTATTCTACCATAAAAAGGAACGAAGCACTGACACACTACAACCCAATAGACCTCGAAAACATTATGCTCACTGAAAGAAGCCAGACACAAGATGACAGATATTGTATGATTCCATTACATGAAACATCCCAAGCTGGTAAATCCACAGCAACAGGAGATGGTGGCTGCCAGCGCCTGGGAGGAGGGGGACCAGGCAGTGGCTGCCTCACAGGCTGGTTCTTATCTGGGGATGATCAAAGCGTTTGGAAATTGATAATGGTGGCACAGCAGTGTGAATACACTAACTTCTGCCGAACTGCTAACGAAATAATTGTTCATTAAAATGGTTAATTAGATGCTATGTAAATATCACCTCCAAAAAAGTAAAAAAGTTTATCGTTTTGTGAAATATCTCTGGGATGTGCTTCACAATAATGGGGGTGTGGGGGGTAGAGATCTAAAAAGTTGAAAACAAAAAAACCTTTTGTTTGCAAAGAGAAAAAAATGGACGGGAAGTGGATGACAGCAGGGAGCCGAGTCCGGGTGGGGGAAGAGGGCAGGGCGCTCGGGTGCAGGAAGGAGCTAGAACGAAAAGGCTCTGACGCGAACCTGCAGATAAAGCCAGGGGGCTGTTGGGGCAGAGAGAGGGGCCCAGGGTTGTGTGCGAACCCCGGGGCAGGGCAGGTCGGCGCTGCCCTTTGGAAATCATCTCGCTGCTCCTTAAACTTACACGATGTTGTGCGGCGATGGTATCCCAATAAAGCTGAAATATATATATATATATATATATATATATATATATATATANATATATATATATATATATATATATATATATATATATATAATTTAAAACCCCTTGTCCTTCGGGTTCCGTGCGCGCTGCGGGTCAGACACCGGGGCAGACGCGGAGGAGGCCGGCTGCTGTGCCACGTCCTGGTCCCCGTCTGGAGAAAGGCTCCCCCAGCGTCCTGCCTCAGGGACTCGCGGGCCTCCGTCTCCTCTCACGCCCTCCCCGCGACCCCGGCCCCGCTCGCCCTGGAGCCCCGAGCTCCGGGTCCCGCCTGGCGACACCTGCCAGGTGCGCAGAAGCCCCGGCCCGAGCGCGGCGGACCCACCTGGGGAAGCAGCAGACCCACCTGGGGAAGCAGCGGACCCACCTAGGGAAGCAGCGGACCCACCTGGGGAAGCAGCGGAAGGGGCGCCGCCCGGGGCGGGGCGCGCGCAAGGCCACGCCCCCGGGGCGGGTCCCGCGGCGCTCAAGCCCCGCCCCCCAGTGCACCGGATCGGGCAGCGTAGCCTCCCGACGGCTGCAGCTCAGGGCCGCCGCGGCTTCCCGGGCGGCCGGGCCATGGCGGCCGCCGAGCCCAAGCCCCCCGCGGGGGCGGCCACGGCCCGGCGCCTGGCGCGCAGCTGCTGGTCCGCGTTCTGGGACTACGAGACGCCCAAGGTGATCGTGGTGAAGAACCGGCGCCTGGGCGTCGTGTACCGCTTGGTGCAGCTGCTCATCCTGCTCTACTTCGTGTGGTGGGTGCGCGGGGGCCGGAGGCGGGGTTCCCCGGGGCGGGGGGGCCGGGGAGGACGCGGGGTCCCCCGGCCGCCTCCGGAGCCGGCCCTGCGCGTCCCCGCAGGTACGTGTTCATCGTGCAGAAGAGCTACCAGGACAGGGAGACGGGGCCCGAGAGCTCCGTCATCACCAAGGTGAAGGGCATCACCTCGTCCGAGCACAAAGTGTGGGACGTAGAGGAGTACGTGAAGCCGCCCGAGGTGCGTCCCTCCCCCCACGCACCCCAAAGGTGGGACCAGGGGTGGCCGAGCTGCCCGCGCAGCCGACCGTCTCCTCTCTGAACCCAGGGGGGCAGCGTGTTCAGCATCATTACCAGGATCGAGGTCACCCCCTCCCAGACCCTGGGGACCTGCCCCGAGGTGAGGTCGGGTTCCCGGCGGGGGAGGGCCCTGCCTGGGCAGCCGCACGGCCCGAGCTGGGCCTGGGGCAGAGTGGCCCTGAGCGAGCCGTCTCCTCCCTAGAGCGTGAGGGTCACCAACGCCACCTGCGACTCGGACGAGGACTGCGAGGCCGGGCATCTGGACATGCTGGGAAACGGTCAGTGTGCGCCAGCTGGGGCCCCGGGACGGGGCGCGCCCCTCACCACCTGAGCGCGTCTGCCCACAGGTGTGCGGACCGGGCGCTGCGTACCCTATTACCACGGGGTCTTCAAGACCTGCGAGGTGTCGGGCTGGTGCCCAGTGGAAGACGGGGCCTCGGTCAGGTGCGCCCCCCA